GTGTGTGTGTGTGTGTGTGTGTGTGTGTGTGTGTGTGTGTGTGTGTGTGTGAGTGTGTATGTCAATATTACCGGGATTTCTTTGACCAGACGAAAAAAAAAAAGAAAAGGAAACAAAATTAAAGACAAGAACATAGTATTGCTGAATAAAATCACCATTTATTCAATCCATCCTTTCTTTAGATCTAGAGAATGAAAGGCACTTTTGGCAACATTTTGGAATAACGTGTTATGGGGAGACCATTGACATGGTCTTAATTAAAACTGAACGGGTTTAATGTTTACCTCCATTCAGAAACTAAGATGTAAGGGAAAAGGACTCAGTGTGATGTTGTATAGAACTGCAAATTTTGAGCGAATTCAAAGCAAGTGAAATGTGAACCCTGGACCCTCTTATTACACGGTTTCAACATTAGCGAGAATAGTACTTCTTTCACCACACGTAATCGTTTAGATTTCATTTGATTTAGAGTTGGATTCATTAGATTTAGAAGCAGAACGACTGGCCTCATCAGACTCGCTAGACTTAGAGCTGTTAGAGCCAGAATCGTTGATCTCATTAGAGTCGCTAGAGTTAGAAACACTGGCTTCATCAGACTCACTGTAGCTTTTAGATCCGGAATCACTGGCTTCATCAGACTCACTGGAGCTTTTAGATCCGGAATCACTGGCTTCATCAGACTCACTGGAGCTTTTAGATTCAGAATCACTGGCTTCATCAGACTCACTGGAGCTTTTAGATGCGGAATCACTGGCTTCATCAGACTCACTGGAGCTTTTAGATTCGGAATCACTGGCTTCATCAGACTCACTGGAGCTTTTAGATGCGGAATCACTGGCTTCATCAGACTCACTGGAGCTTTTAGATTCGGAATCACTGGCTTCATCAGACTCACTGGAGCTTTTAGATTCAGAATCACTGGCTTCATCAGACTCACTGGAGCTTTTAGATGCGGAATCACTGGCTTCATCAGACTCACTGGAGCTTTTAGATTCGGAATCACTGGCTTCATCAGACTCACTGGAGCTTTTAGATGCGGAATCACTGGCTTCATCAGAGTCGCTGGAACTTTTAGATCCGGAATCACTGGCTTCATCAGAGTCGCTGGAGTTAGAAGAATCGGAGGAATAGGATTCAGTGCTGGAACTTTGGGAGCTGTAAAAATAATGTATAATGTATATGAATGTCAATAGCTTTTTGAAAAATATTAGTGTCTTAAAATAGGACGGCTATTTGTAAAATAAAATAAAAGCTTTTCCGAAATATAATTGCATTGATTGCACTAATTTATTGAAAACTTGGATGTTAAACGTGTTTTAATATGTCTCTATATCTAAGAACCAGATACTAATCAGATATATTGACTCTTTACCTTTTATAGTTGAAAATTTTTTTAATCTAGCTAATTTACAGTGTAAAGTCTCAAACGTGGGCCGTATGCCAAATTGATCAAATTAAGGACAAACAAAAGAAAGCTATTCAAGTTTACGTATCTCAGTCTGCGTATGCTAACGATCTACTGGTCAGTCTCTCGGACTCGCAGTCAGAAAGTCATGGGTTTGAAACTCGCCAGGAGCAAACGTTGTACCCTTGAAAAAGGCACCTAACTTGGACGTTATTCAAGTGAAAATAAGGACACGACAATAGCCAGAGAAAGATCGAGTCAGTTTGTTAAATCTTTGACAACGCAGGAGACACATATGTCCAATCAGGATCGTACCAACAGCAATGTTCCGGCACATGTGAACCATCAGACACACATCAGAAACACACATGTATTTTCTTAATAAAATAGATCTATACGCTGTTCTCTGCCTTTGTAAAGTTTAGGATAAGGACAACAGAATAGAATAATCAGTATGAATAAAGCAGTCCCACTCAGCGCTTCTAAACAGCGTGTCTTCACTGAGTTAATGTTTTAGTGCATGTAACATGACGCTTTCTTTGTATTCTTGCTGGAAAGCCAAGAATGTTTCTAAATCGTGTTCGGGGGTCTGCTGAGGTAATAATAACAGTTTAGGGGCATAGAACATGCTGTAGAGAATGGGTATGAGCTATATAAATGCAGTTATAATAAGTCTGTTGTGCGCCTTAGGCACAGATATGAATTTTACAGTGAATGAAATGTCGCCATGTGCATTTTGCTGGCCAAATGTTGTTACAACGAAGGACTGGTCTGTGTGTGCGATAATATTTTAAAGCTGGTAGGCAGGCCAGAAAAATGCCATTAGCTCTACACAAAAGTACTTTCAGGCATGACACTGCAACTTTGAAATAATACTATTATAATTATATACTACTTGAAAAGAGAATTGAAGATCAGAGTCCGAACGCTAACGGAATTATAAGATATCCATTTAAAAAGCCGTCTCATTTTTTAATTGGACGGCCCATAGGCACGATTACTAGCTGTCGGTTCATTATCATTGCCTTTCTCACTCTGGATCAGGGTATAGGTCACGAACAAAAATATTCTACCTTTCCCTCTCCTGGGCTAGTTGCGTGATGTCACTCCTTGTCTTCTCACTTTTCTGTACATCCATTTCTGTGACTCTTATCCTGGTTCCACTTGGGCTTCCACTTGATCTTTTACCATGTAGGTTCCAATCTAACACTTTCTGTTTCATACAGCTGCTTGACGCCCTGTAAGTGTATCCATACCACCCCCAACGCCTTCTTCCCACCTCATCTCTGTCTAGGCTCTGTCTCTTTCTTCTTCTTATTTCCTCGTTGGTGATGCTGTCTGTCCATATGATCCTCAGTAGCTTCCCGAGACACTCATTCAAGAAAACCTGGATCCCCCATATGCACGTCTGGGATGCGCTCCATGTCTCACATCCACGCAACAAGACTGACGTCACATTTGAGTTGAAAATCCCCAGCTTTGTTCGTAGTGAGATATCCTTGGTCCTCCAAATCCTGTTCAAAGAAATAAATGCAGTCTGTGCCTTTCCAATACGGGACTTTATTTCAGCAGATGTTTCTCCCTCTCTGGCAGCTACAAGGTGAATTTTCTGGGTGTGAAGTTAAAGTTACAAAGATGGAAGAATATCTTACCAAAGGCATGTCATATTTTCGATTGTGCGCTCCAAACTCGGCGACACATAATGTTGCTCCTTTTCCCCCCTTCCCCTTCAACCCCGAAAAAAATATCAATCAATCAGTCAATACATTTTTTAAATGAAAAAAAAAATCCTAAAATCTCTTGAAGACCAATTTGGTTCCGCTAAACTACATCTACTCACTCTCTAACATCTCTTGCGACAGCCGGGGTTGGGGCTCCAGAACATTCCTGCAGGACCACAGCAAAGGCCGCAAAGAGAAGGGCGAAGACGAACACGTTTCTCATCTTGGGTCTGAAATCATCATCATCATCATCATCATCATCATCATCATCATCATCATCATCATCATCAGAGCTTCCCCATTGGTTGTGGCTGTCTTCGTTGGCAATGATCCAAGAGAGCAAACTCGGAAAAGGACAAAGAACCTCACATATCAAAGTTTACATCGCGATTTGGGAAGACAGACGGGGCGCCCGGGGAGGAGGATTGATAAACTATGTCAGAGATAGTCTGGTGTACGAAATAGTGGATGATGTTCGTCCTTCGCTGGCGAAGATGACCTTGACTTCACATCACTGGAGGGGTGGGGTGTGTGCGGAGATGGCTGATCAGGCCGATCTTCGCACGGAAATGTCTGTTGCAGAGGGGGCAAGGGATGTTTGGGGCTGAATTAGGCTGGAAGGTAGGGCTCTCTCGGTCTTTTCTCAGCTGCCGTCTCCGTTCTTTCTTTCTGACACAACTTTCTTCGAATTTCGCCACACCCGATCTTATTAAGGAGCGCCAAACTGTGCGATCGCGAGCAGCTTCTTCTCAGGTTGTACGGGGAATGTCACAACTCTTCAGGGATGCTTTCAGAGCATCTTTGAAGCGTTTCTTCTGTCCGCCGAGAGAGCGTTTGCCTTGGGTCAGTTCACCGTAGAGTAGCCTCTTTGGGAGGCGAGAGTCGTCAATGCGGTGAACGTGGCCGGCCCATCGGAGCTGAGAGCGCAGTAGGATAGCGTATATGCTCTCCATCTTGGCCCGCTGTAGTACCTCAGTGTCTGGGACTCTGTCTTGCCACTTGATTCGAAGCAGTGTCCTGAGGCATCCACGAAATAGTGGATAGAAGGGCGAAGACGGTAACAAAATCGCTGACAATCAGGATAAGAATAACAAGAAAAAAGTGGATAACTGCCACTAATGTCTACTGCCTACCCAAGAACAGCACAGGTCAAACCATCCAGCTAGATTTGAACAGCATCCCAGTGTCGCCATCCAGCATCATCTGCGGCCACATCAATGTGCATGCCCCAGTCTGGGATGAGATTCAGCCAGAGGATGCGCGAGGAGAAGAAATAGTTGAATGGGCGTGTCATAAATCGCTTGACATCCTGAATGATGGTTCTATCACCCTAATCAACAAAACAACAGAGGCTGGCAGCTCGCCAGATGTCAGTGTCTGGAAGAGCAAATGTGTATGGTCGGTGGATGATGAAGACCTCGGTGGTTCTGATCATTCTGCAATCATCATTGTAGTGAACAGTGCAACTAAACATCAATCAATCTTTGCAAAGGCACCGCGATGGAAGAAGTGGAGTGAACTGGCCAGACTTTCGAAATGAGATTGAAAGCAAGATGGATAACATACCGGAAACTGACCATCTGAATCTGCGAGTCCAACGTTTCAATGCCATCTTACTTGAAGCAGCTTATGCGCATGTCATTAAGGTGAAGCCGTCCAAAAAATCCCCGTCTTGGATGACCCGCAAGTGTCGTGGACTGATCAAGAAAAGAAACGAGCTAAGAAAAAATATCTCCTCACACAGGGAGGAATGGTTACAAGATTGCAAAGATGTTACAGAGGCTGTCCAAGAAGCAAAGACTAAACAGTGGAAGGAGGTAGTTAATGGCGTGATAAATGATCTGGACTAAAGGGAAACTTGGAGTTTCATCAAGTCTCTAAATGGATTACCAGAAACCAAATCTCCCAACGAAGTACTGAAACATAACGGGAAAATGATAACATCAACAAAGAAGAAAGCTGAGCTTTTTGCTCAGTACTATGCAAATATCAGTAAGCTCCAATTTACCCAAGAGGAGCGCAGAAGAAACAAACTCCGATTGAAGCGCCTACTGCATGACGATGTGAACAGCGAAGATGAACAAAAATCATACCCAGACTTCATCAGGAAAGAGCTGGAGCGTGCCATAACACAAATGAAGAGAAGAAGTGCTCCAGGACCTGATGATATACCACCATCTTTCCTAAAAGAGCTTGGCCCACTCGCATTGAAAGAGTTGCTCAGCATATGTAATCTGTCGCTTGACCAAGCAGCGTGCCCACAAGACTGGCGTAAGGCACTTATAATTCCTCTCTAAAATGCTGGCAAGTCACCTAGTGATATGACATCCTTTCGATCCATTAGACATCCTGTGTCGAGAAAGTTATAGAAAGGATGCACGCTGAAAGAATTTACTACCTGTCAGAGAAGAATGAATGGATTGCATGCAGGCAGGCTTTCGCCAAGGTCATAGCTGCACTGACCAGATCATCAGAATCTGTCAAGGAATTGAGGATGGTTTTCAACAAAAGCCAACCTTCCATCGATCAGTCCTAGTCCTCCTGGACTACTCCAAGGCATATTATGATATGGGTTGGCGTGAAAGACTATTACTGTCAATGGCTGAAAAGGGAGTTCCGTAGCGTGCAATGAGATGGATCCATGGTTTCCTGGGAAACAGACAAGCCCGTGTTCGCCTGAATGGAGAAACAAACAAGAGCCAGAATTTCAAGCAAGGGCTTCCCTAAGGAGCTGCACTATCACCGCTGCTGTTTATATTCTTCATAAACAACCTGGCAACAATCCCTCCCAAACGCTGACTCACAACAACCAACCTCCGCCCAGCTGATCTACTTAATGTTCGCTGATGACTGCACAATATTGGACAGTCACTCAAAGAGAGAAAAGGCAAATGAAGCGACACAGTTGATTGTGGACATGGTTGTGAAATGGAGCTATGAATGGAAGCTTACCTTGAATGCAACAAAGAGTGAAGTGTGCTTCTTCTCAACATGGGTGAAGGAGGCAACGTGGCAACCAATAATTCAGGTCGAAGGGAAAAAGATATCATTCTACCCCACTCCACGCCTGCTGGGTGTCTTCCTAGATAGACAGCTAATCTTCAACAAGCACATTGAGGAAGTGTCCAAAGGTGCTGTCAGCAACTCAAAATGGGGCTGAGGTAAGGAGTCGCTCAGGAAAGTATATCCGATATTTGTGAAAAGCAAGATGGCCTATGCTGCCCCAGCGTGGCAGCCTTGGCTGAGTGAGACTAGTGCAAAGGCCGTGGACAGAATACAAAACAAAGCCCTCCGACTTGAATCAGGTCAGCTGAAAACAACACCGACAGAAGCGCTGTGCTATGAGACCAGAACTGAGCACTACACCACCTATACAAAAAGAACATGTATCAAGTCTGTAGAGATGGCTAAGAGATTACCAAACCACCATCCTAGAAAGAAAGCCCATGATCAAGCAGTCAAGCCTAAAAACAGCAGGAAAAGTTGGTTTCGGATTGGTACCGATCTAGCTGACCACCTCCCACCTGAAGCAAAGAATCGATAGCCAATCAATCTGGAGAGAGCTTGTCCAAGGGAGACCCATGACGAAATCGAAATTCGGACAGAACTGAGAGGAGTAAAAGGAAAAGGTGATGATCCTGTAAAGGCACGTGAAGCAGCAGAGGATGTCATCAAAGAGGTTGGTGCGGATGTGACAATTTTCACCGATGATTCGGCTGTCGCAGGATACTGCGAAGGTGGAGCAGCAGCAGTGGTGATAATGAATGATGAACCACCACGAACAGAAATTATTAAAACTAACGGTGCATTACTTACATCATCTTATGACGAGTAATGCCAGGCAATGATGTCTGCTACACAGTGGATTGCTGATAATTGCCACAGTAGAACCAATGTGCTGATCTTGACTGACAGTCAGTCCCTATGCAAAGGGCTGCTAGGCAACAGCTCGGACATGAATGATTTGCGCCGCAAGTTCAGTGAAGCCACAGCCACAATAAAAATCCAGTGGATTCCAAGCCATGTTGGAAAAGAAGGAAATGAGGCAGCAGACCAAGCTACTAATGAAGCCAGAGAGATTGAAGGAGACAGACGACCAACAACATACAGAGGAGACTTTCTAATGATCAAGAGGGAAATCAGAGCCCCACCATGTAGAGCTAAGTACCAGCACCTGGAAGATGTGTATTCTGGGTACTCCTATAAGCGGGAACAAAAATCTATCACATGTCGCTGGGACCAGGTTGGGCTAACGAGACTGCGGTCGGACCATCTTTGGAGCTTAAGATGGTATAACAACTTTGTAAATGAAATGCTCAGCCCATGTTGCCGAAGATGCGGACATGAAAAGGAGGATGTCAAACATGTGTTTGAATGTCCAGGAACAATGGCAATTCGAATGGAGTTATTTGGACGAGTTGAGATGCCGCTTAACATATTGACAATGGAGCCGAAAAAGAGCCTCGCTCTCGCTCAAAGATTTCTTCGAGGAGTCCACCATGCCCATTAAGGAAACAAAAAAAAATCATCATCATCATCATCATCTTCGTTGTTGTTGTCCTCATCGTCGTCCTCATCATCATGGTCGTTAAAGTGGGGGTCACCATCATCAACCGCTAATATTATTTATTGTAAAGTTTCTTTATGTATTTCTTGTTGACATAAAAATGCAATTGCAGAAGTTTTAACTCACCAGCGACACAATTTTTATCGAAAAAAGGTGGTCTTCGACCTTGCCTGAAAGTGCCGGCCCAATATGAGAGGGATGCAGCCTGACAACAGACAGGCGGAGATACTTGATAAAAACCCTCCACACTCGGGAACTGAACTAACGCCTGTTTCTGGCGACAGCGAAGCGTCTATAATAAGAACTAAACCACAGACATTGGTGACATAGCAGAGAATTGTGAGACTGAACAAAATATAACAATAAACTTAAAGACCTAGCTCCTAAGCAGACGAGCCATCAGGTCTAACCAGAAATCGAAAATTTCTTTTCGTCAAAGACATTACACTACACGATGGTTGACGCTCTAAACAAAGCGTCCTCTAAATTGCTAAGCCCAATATCACAATCGTGTCACCTGCTTTGTTAGAAATTCGTTTTATTTCGTTTTTTATAAAGCAGGTATCATGTTGATCGGGAGTTGTGCCCTTGATAAAGACACTTTACATTAATTTTTACATTTTACTCAGTCCTATCAAAACAGGACGTTTAATTTCTTACATTATCTGAAAGTGTTGCAACGGTCGTCAAACACACAATTTAGCAATTTTGTACACGTTGTTTTTCCGAATGATTTGTAACATTCGTTGTAACACTGGGGGAGGGGACGGGGTAGGCCTACAAGCACTTGACCGATGGCTGGAAACAACGGTAAAGACGATTTGTAAATAAAACGCTTAATAAACGGACAATTTTAGTCAAATCGTTTCCTAAAGTGCCTTCATAAATCCTTATACATTTATTCAGAATACCCTGACGAATCCAACGTTTTTCAACGGATTTCTGCAAGGTACATAATTAATGCACTCGTCTCCGAAGCGATGAGTCTGGGTTCGAGCCTCGATTTGGACACGGATTTTTTCACCCCCTCTTGCCCAACAAACAGTAATGGGTACCTGACCTCGTGTTGGGGAAGTAAAGGCGACGTGGAAAGGAACTGGCCACCCTACCACACAATATGCCGAAGGTCCAGGAAGTTGTCTCACTAACAAGGCAATCCCCATCATCCAGATCGGATGCGGGACATTGCGGGAACAACATTACTTTTACATACTTATTATGACTCGCCATACAAGTCAACTAACATGAAAGTTAAGTTGGAACTCTAATGATTTTTTTGTTTTAAAATAGTCGTCATTTTCCCGTAGATAATAGGCGCTGTCAGCCAACATTCATGCTGGCCTTCATGAGGAATATACGACCTTTGTCTACATACGTGAAAGCGTTTTACTCAACCACAAAGCCTGCATGTGCTGGTTGTTGGAGAGCGCCACCGGTAGGTCCTACTTCATTTGTCTTCTCTGTTGTTTTTCTCTATCTGTCTTAGTATTACAACACAAAATTACCGCCATCGTGTCAGTGTGCTTCTCTTTACTCAAACAACAAACAAGCCGTTGCATTTAAAGTTTAACTAAAACTTGCTAGCTACCCAGTTCATGGGTTGAAGTACTATTTCCACTCCGATGATTCCCAAATGTATGTTAATTGCACCATTCAAGATCTGCCAAACATGATTTCTATCACTAAACAATGTTTTTATTAAATAAAAAAGTGGATGACAGTAAACAAATTGAAACTGAACGAATAAAAAACAGACATCATCCTTATAAATAATACACGATTAAATAAAGATTTGGAAAGTGTTAGCATTGATTTATATGGGCATATGACATGTTGTAAAGGGGTTGTCAAGAATATTGGTGCATATATTGACAACATCTTATCAATGGGCTCGTTTGTAGGATCTCTGTCCAAATCCCTTTATTATCTTTAGCTGATTAGGATAGGTCTAGTTCGAAAGTACTTAAACAAAGAGACCCCAAATTATTGGTAACATCTCTTATTCTATCTAGATTAGACTGTTGTAACTCACACCTAGCAAGTCTGAACAACAAATATTTATATCGTTTACAAGCTATTCAAAACAATGCCGTTAGACTGATAACAAGATCTAAAAAAACGAGACCATATCACTCCACTATTAAAAGAACTACATTGGCTCCCTGTAAAACAAAGAATAATATTTAAAACCTGTGTCATGTGTTTCAAATTATGCGTAAATAAAACTGCTCTTTTTTACCTACAAGAACTTATCAGTATACGCCATGGAGAAACCTAAGATCATCAAACGATAACACCCTACTTGTGAAACCCGTAAAATCATACAATTAATCATATGGAGAGAGATTTTTCTGATATCTTGGTCCATTTATGTGGAACAGATCGTCCATGGAACTAAGACAAAAAAAGCACACTTGATAGCTTCAAAAGATATCTTAAGCATTTTCTGTTCCTACAGGACTATCCTTCATAATAAGCTTTTAGCGTTATTTTTATTATAGTTGTTCTGAGCCTACGTCTAAATGAAAATTGTGTGTGTGTGTTTGTGTGTGTGTGTGTGTGTGTGTGTGTGTGTGTGTGTGTGTGTAAATATATATTGCATGAGAAGAAAGGAAGTAGTAAGATAGGTTTTGAAAACGGATATTCCAATGTAAAGCGCATTGAGCTATTTTATTTGGGGGGGGGGGGGTGCGCTATATAAATGTTATAATATATTATTATTATTATCATTATTATCATTATTGTTATTATTATTATTATTATTATTATTATTATTATTACTATATTATTATTATTATTATTATTATTATTATTATTATTATTATTATTATTATTATTATCATTATTATTATTATTATTATTATTATTATTATTATTATTCCTTTGGATTTCGTGACATTGCAAACCAATACAAAAAGGTCAAGATACAACCTGGTTTACGAAAAACAAAACGCAATAAATGAACAAATAACTGAAAACATAAATGAATGATAAATAAATGATTAAATTTTTAAAAACCCAGGTAAATGAATGAATGAATGAGTGAATGAATTATAGATAAATTTAAACAATAAACCAATTGCCGAAGAAGCTATATACCCCCTTCACTCCCCACAAAAAAACATTTCAACAAAAGCACAGACCTGTTGTCGGGTATTTCTGGCTGAAATTGATCGAACGATTTTAAGCTTGTAGATTCAGTGTTCCTGTCGATGTTGGGTCTCCCAAAGGAGGTTCGCTATTGAACATTTGCACATCGAACGTCTCCTTATATAGGGACAACGGCACAGAATATCACGTCGTGACTTGAGCTTTTAGCCAATGAGATGTAAGCACTCCTGCTGTCCGGTGACGTGACATGCTGCATTCCTTTCTCTCTGTGCCTGTTCTTGTGCTTTCGTTTTTATCGTATTTATCTTGTTATTACATTTGATCCCTGTGGCATCCTTGTTCTCCAGCATAGGTGAAACTTATACGCTACTCATTCCACAGAAACAAAACAGCCGCCGCTTGGGCTTTTCATTTTTTTTTAAAATATAAAGATATACATGAAATAATTAAGCTTATTTGATGTTTCAGGCAATTGGTCCACATCAAATTACATAAAATACTCATTTGTTGAATAAAGTTTCCATTATGAAAAAGTACCCTTTGTGCACATATCTCTCACCATGGGTCAAACATTGCATATTTTGATCAAGGGGCAGAGTCAGGCAGGCAGACAATAAACAATTTCCTTTAATGGTCAAAATTTGGAAAATAAAAAATAAAGTGAAATTCGTCTTCAATTTCCTGAGAGCTGCACCTCTCACATAAAGGTGAATTTATTCATTTCCACCGATGAAGATTGTTATATAATTGAAGGGTATGAGTTTTTAACTAGGCAATGACTCGAGAGGTTGATGAAATACTCAGCTGTTTATTGAAATGGAGTTGTAAGAGACAATAAATTACACCCGCAACAGATGTCTTCCGCTACGTTCTGCTCAAAATTATCAACAAGCCTACTTTTTACTTCACTGAGAATTAATTTAGTGCTTCCAACACTTTGAGAAAAACACGTTTAAATCATGGGAGACGTAGGAAAATGATACCATTTTAACCTTTTTTTTTTGCTTTTGTCCTGAAAGTTTACATAATATGTGGCAAATTATAGTAACTTTCATTTATTTCGAGATTTCACAAATTATTTTCACAGCCCATCAATACTCTTGAGATTTACACTAACTACCATAAATAAAATAAGCGCAAACAGAATTCTGGTTAACAAATTTTAAGATTTGTCTTTGAACGAGAAAATCTTCAAATTCTTGACTTAGGCTGATCTACGATTCTTTTGAACTTGGGTGATATCTCAGACGGGTTCTGCATTTGTCTGATGAGTTTATATGCTCACTGGCCTTGTCATAACAAGCCTCTTGTTAAAATTGAAGCCCCCGCCTATTGAATACTATCTCATTGTCGGCCAGTTGTGCAGATGTACCAAGCCAAAAACAATTATGAAAAGTTTGCTCGTTGCAGTTTCTTACTCTGTGGTATCATCTGCATGTACACAAGTAATGTTTGGTCAAAATTCAGGTTCTAAATTTTGAAAAAAGCAAGATATATAAAACAGGTACAACTGTTAAAAGAACGAAACAATTTCTATCTTTCCTGACACTTGATGCCCTCTATGCTTAGAACATTTCAAATAATGTGTCGACCTTATGATGCTAAACGCTGGAAGGGACCTCAAGTCTAGACCACAAAACACGCCTCTCATAATAGTAGACTTAATCGTTTGTATTGGTCTTTATTCTAAAGACAAATAAGACTCCCTTTTTCAGTGGTGACTGTAGTCTATTGCTTAGGCTACCGGGCTCGTAATCCTTACATTGCGGGTTCAGAGGTTTGAGGCTAAGTTCGTTCTGACGTTGTGTCCTTGGTAAAGTCACTTTGCATGAGCTGTCCCATTCGGCTAGGTCCTGTCGGAAATGGACGTTATATTCGGATGTCCTGTCTCTCAAATAACCTTTCAAAGTTGCAATGATTGTTTAACCAATACTATTTTGCAAGTTTGCATAGACTAAGTTTAGATTGTCTTGGGGAAAAGATGCTTCAACCTTATCCGTTAGTTTCTACCCATACAGGAAACAGCATCGCAGCAGAAAGAATGTAACACTCGGAAGAATAACGTTCATACGTAGGAATCGAACTCACGTCTTCTGTGTTCAATGGCGGGGACCTTAACAAATAAACCACGGACGCCTGCATTTATGATCTAACCTGAAGAGCTTAAGTCGTCATTTACCATGATAGAAAGAAACGGCACTTGCTTAGCTTACAAAAAAAAAAAAGCAACAAGCCGTTTATTTATTTAAAAATTGTTTTTACAATATCATGTACAAGTAAAGAAATCAGCAAAGCGACGCGCAGAACAAAATAATTACTAATCATTGCAGTTCAGCTCCCGACTTATCAATTAAAACAAGAAAACAATATGCCAAAAAACACAAACCTCTGAATGTTTTGCTCTAGGCCACACATAAGCGATAACCCAAAACTGTGAGGACATTGGGGGGGGGGGGATTAATTCTTAAAACCAGAGACTTATTGGGGGAGTTTTCATGACCTGGCCCACGCTTCGGCATTCTCTCAGCTCTCCGGCCCACTTGCGAAAAACGTTTGATAACCTCTTATGTTAGGGATAAATATTATCATAGATAATATGGTACTGGGGATCGTTAAAGAGGGGGGTAAGGAAAATCCCAAAAATAGCGCAAAGCAAGGCAGTCGGGCTGACTCGCGTTTGTAGCAGACGATTTTTTCAACGCCGTTCTTTAGCCGGTGGAACGGATCCGTCAAAGCGGCCATAGTAAACCGGTTTTCTGCCGGTTTGACGACTGCTTACATCACTCATCTCATATCAAAATAGCGATGGCTACTCCACGAAACAGACTGTTGTTTCTGCTCTGGTGGTTGAGGAAAACCCAGTGTGCACCTGATCTTAGAGGTAAGTCAACGAATTTCTTCTGAGCGATTTCACCTGAAGAAAGTATCGTTGTGACACTGAGGTAACTATTATCATAGTCCGAGAGCCGGAGCCATGTACAACCTTGGTGACTCTGCTTCCTTAGGGTATTCATATCAGTCGGGGGCCAACTTGTATCTTATGGGCATAATTGTTTCTGTTAGTTGAAATACACAAACCCGTATCATGCAAGAATGACTGCTGAGCGACTCGTGGACGAGTCGACAAAGATTCGCGCGGGGGGTGCTAACGCTAACATTTCCTCTCGCCATGATGTCACAGGCTGCACTGAAAGTGAAAGGTGCACAGTTCGGCCTACTGTCCCCCCCCCCTCATGATATGGAATCAGCTAGCAAAGCTTAGAGACATTGGCAGACAATGCTGAGTCACTGTCACACCACACCTCCGTGAACTAGAAACAAAAGTCCGACAGAGTTGAGCGTCAATTACAGTGTCATCACAGAACGTTGCATGATGTGTTAATGACCTGAAAACAAAATACAAGTGTTCCTTCCTTCAACACTGGACCCATGAACCTTAGCACTGAAGTACGTGTAGAATTCACTGGTACTATGGGAATGTTAAGAAATTGAAAACTGTCTGCAATACCAGATATCCACGAACACGTGCATTATGTTACCTGAGATATTTTAAAACGCAAAACTGTGCTTTTCGGAATTCTAAATGATTCATTCGGAAGGGGGAGGGGGGGGGGAGTCGAAAGAGAGATGGAGATATTTTAAGGTGGGAGGGGGGATGCATGGCCTATTTTGATATTTAAGAAATCAGCCACACCCTTGATCAAGATCCGATGGCTTGTAACGACGGGAGCGTTCCCTTATCCCTACGTTCTTTGTCAGTATGTATGCACGTAGGTCTATCGCTACGTAGACAAAAAGAATGTAGGAACTCGCTACGTCACCATGAGGACGTGAGCATAAATGCACACTCACTGTGTCTCACTCACTGACTCTTATACACATACTTTGCTATTCTCTCTGTTTGTCTGTCTGTCTATCTGTCTCTGTCTCTGTCTCTGTCTCTGTCTCTTTCTCTGTCTTTCTCTCTCTCTCTCTCTCTCTCTCTCTCTCTCTCTCTCTCTCTCTCTCTCTTTCTTAGACATGGAGTGTTTTTTTCTGTCAAAGAAAGAACCCACGTCTGATCCAATTGGGACGGATTAGTAGTTTTCAGAGAGCAAGCCGGCATCGAGATGGTAGACATAGTCAGAGATTTCCAGAAGATGCAGAGTTTATACTGTGTCATAGGAACTGTATGAGCACTGTGTTCCAAAGACCACACTCAGCGACTTTTACAAAAGTGAAAGACTGGGGAACTTTGTGAAGAAGAACCCAAACGTCATAGGGACAGTTCGTTTAATTTTCGTGAACATTGTTTTTTCTTTGGAGAAGCATGCTCACTGATACCCCCTAAAACACCCTGGCCGTTGGAAAAAAGCCTACTTATGCCGAAGTGGAGGAGAGAAAGGGAGGACGATCACCCAAGAAGAAATACAAAAACGTGCCAAGGAACATGGGGACAAATGAGGAACGTATGTCAGCTTCTGCGTGTCATCAGCAGTCAGTGATTTGCATGTCTCAAACTTAAGGTATCAATGAGACGTCTGCTCCCGGTTCTACACAAGCAGTCCAATGCAACCAACTAGCTCACCTACAACGCATGACAATGCTTTCAGTATACTGGTTGAAAATATTCGATCAAAGAAATCACGCACGTGGAGTGGTGTGGAAGTCCATGAACGCTATATTGAACTTGGAGGGAAAGACAAATCTCGGCTTTCATCACAACCGCAGTTGCCTCCATTTTGCGACGAGTTCAGTGGGCACCAGTAGCACATGTGGTCTTTGACAGATACTACAGACTGAGTACAAAGTCATGCTGTACAAACGCCCGTCAGAAGGGGACAAGTCGTGTGTGCAACCTGACTGAGGAGTCGCCTTTGCCACAGCAAAGTGTCATGCTGAAAGTCAAAACTAACAAGGAAGAACTGATATAAATGAGTTTACATCGTCTTTGCTGCATGCAGCCTCCACCAGGAATAAATGTTGTCATCACTGAATGTCCCAAAATGTGACTCTGTCCATTGAGTCGTTCACATCAACACATAATGTCATAAGTGTCAACGACGTTACAAGACAACATGCAACCGTAATGCCTAATCTGCTGGCAGCTCCGTCCTGACTGGTTGTGAC